ACTTGGTCAAATTTTAGGCGCGTAGATAAGGGCATCTTTAGCCCCGTCCCAAGCCAAATATGAGCATTTCTATATTTTGTGTTAAAAATTGGTTCACAAATTATTAGGTAACTTTTCTTATACTGGCTCTCTCAAATAATTTTTCTGACTAAGCTAATGATAATGAAAATGCTACTTGTACACGCTGGATTACACATTCAAGTGTAATTGTCTGTGCACATATTATTGATTATAATTTAAGTAAATGAAAGTGTCTATGACTCCGAATTGTCTTCATATAGACAATTCATTTTTGGGTCACAAATACTGCTTTTTACTAAAACTAAAACCAATTGTCCGTGGACAGAGAATTACACTTGGGCGTGTAAACCGGCGTGTAACCCAACATGTATAAGTAACACACGGTTGGATGGAGAATCCTAATCCGGTTGAATGACAATGCATAATATTGTAGTTTGATATTGAAATACTGATTCGATGATGAATGTAATGTTCCTACTCAGATAAGCTAGACTCAAGCGGACAGTGTGTAATGAATTTAGAAAAACAATCGAATTGAGTGATAAGTAGAAAGTCAATAATAACCTATATAAATGTACTAAACCGAATGTTTGAGTAAAGAGAGGAAACCCAATATCCAATTTCTTCATTTCTTGAAGTTTAATAGGATATAATCCTTTTGTAGGATTGGCCGGATAAGACGAAATAATCAGAAAGAGAATTCTTTAAATCTAAAGAAAGAGCAGATGGAAGCAAGTAGGTATCAAATGAGGCGGAGTTCTTGAGCGCATAAGAAGCGACGATGATGATTTGAACTTTGAAGTTGTATATTTTTGTGTGGGGTTAACCATTAGGTGATGAATGAATTTTCATTGTTTGGGTTGAAGACTTGTTCAAACTAGTTTCTAAGAGCATCTCCAATGCACTTCTTTCAAAAGAGTATAATTTGGACACGTCAGACAATTTTGAAAGTATGAATGAAATTCTCTCTTCAATGCATTCTTTCATTAGTTCGGTTAAGTTGATGTGGAACCACGACTTTGAAACCGACTGTTGGATTTTAGAAAGAGTGTTTAACATGCTGACTCATTAAAATAAGGTAACCGTTTCCGGTTTTTAAGCTAAACGTGCAGCAACGAAGATGGATTCCGTTGCTGTATGCACTCGTTATTTTTATAGATATACAAAACAAAAGTCCTAGTGTCGAATCTTTTATCAAAACCAAAGCATCCAACACAAGTATAACAACAATACAAAGAGCAGATTTCTGTCAAATTAAACTCATCTTGATTTTCTTTACTACAGACCTAATAAATTAAACTCATGCATTCTTCAAGATTTATGTTTTCACCGATGATGAATAGTTGAATTTGGTAGGATAATTCATTATTGTGAGCTCCTTTAAAGGATAATGTCTGCTGGAGGTTTGTTCTTTATCCGATCAGTAATGCATTACCTTTTATATACTATTTTTGTTTTGGAATTAAATAAACAATGGAAGCATAATATTTCAAGTGGTTAACATTACGCATTGGAGATGTCTATTTACTTTCTTTCGATCAGCATTTTACGTGGATTGAATGCTATCTCTCTATTTGACATTTGGCAAAATTTAACTTCTGTTGAAAGAAGAGCATTGGAGATGCTCTTAGGATGTGACTCCCACTATTTGAGGCGTAGTTATTCCTCCTCCAACTCCCACTATTGATGGATTTGAGGCGTAGTTATTCCTCCTCCAGAACCACTTTAATACTATCAATTATATTTTTTTTCGGTGTCTAGTCAAATCGATGATTTAAACAATTATCCTTTATTGATCACTACTAAAATCAATTATCCCTTCTGGTGGATGATGAAACATGGGTTTTTGTTGTAATATGAAGTGTAGTCAAACTATTAGATTAAACTATATTATTGTGAAGTTAGCGATTTAGAAGTGTTGTGAAACCTTTTCTCTTCTTTGTCTAAACTTACTGTAGCCATACTCTTCATTTACTATGTTCTTTTTCAAGAAAATACTCAATTTCAAAATAATAAATTTATAATAATATATTAATACATACGTAGTACGTAATCAATATATATGATAATATAATATTAAATATGAGTAAACTAAGAGGGTGTTTGGATCTAATTCTCAAAAGTGATTCTGCTCCTTCAGGGAGCAGAAGCAGAAGCTTGAGTGTTTGGGTGAAATTCCAGAAGCACTTCTGGTGCTCTAATTTACTCTCAGAATTAGTTTTTTTAGAAGCTGGGGGTACCAGCTTCTGAAAACTGATTCTGATTCTGTTTCTGATTTAAAAAAGAAGCAGAAGCAGAATCAGTTCCAAACACCCCTAAATTTTGTCTTTAAATATTTTAAATATGGAGTATTTTATCAAGTTCAATAATCCACATATATGGACCTATCACCAATATCATTTAATCATAAGATAGAGGCAGCAGATACTACATTTTTTATGTTACGATTCGAATTGATATTATCAAACTAGGTTATCACATTTGGACATGACATTAATTAATAACCATCAATGAACAAATCAAAACCAAGTTTTTTTTTCTTTTGTGCAAGTAACCTCTTTTCAATATTAACCACCCTCTTTTAGCGCTTCACATTATTCATGTAAACATTTTATGTTTCAGTTCGGTTATGTCAAATTTGGATCGGTTGATTGACTTTGATTCCATTTCGGCCGGTTTTGATTTAAAAAGCACAAAACAAGAGACAAGTCACAAGACTGACAAGAGTGAACTAATAAACCTTGGCCAGTCTTACTACTTTTTTAAAAATGAATGTTACACCGGAATGGATTCCAATTTCCAAACGTTGTGATCAGTTTAACAGTTTTGATTTATGTTGCTTCGAGTTTATGAGGTCGTCGCTTCTATCTTTTTTTTTTTGTTCAAACCTTACTTTGGCCAGTCTTACTACTTTTTTAAAAATGAATGTTACACCGGAATGGATTCCAATTTCCAAACGTTGTGATCAGTTTAACAGTTTTGATTTATGTTGCTTCGAGTTTATGAGGTCGTCGCTTCTATCTTTTTTTTTTGTTCAAACCTTACTTGTACTATATATATGGTGTATTGGTGTATATAAATAGCTTATCTTGAATCATACTGTACATATTTAAGAAATTACCGTAAAAAGAAATAAAAAAATTTCAGAATTTCCGAAAAGTAGAACTATATTTTTATTTCATAAAAATGAGCAGTTATTGCGATATGCTGAAAATACGGACACTTATGATAACATATTGTAATATTAAAAGTCTAATAATGCAAAAATATGATAGAAACTTTCTAGAATGACATTAACGTACTGATATTTTAAAATTATATCTTGTACATGTGTTCACTCCTATTTCACGAAGTTTCTCTACATACAGCACGATCCAGACGAACTGTTAGGTCGTGAGGAGGGGTGCTATATTAAGACATGAGTTACTCCTCCTATTAGGTTGACCTTTTAGGATGGAACCCCAAGTCTTAATAACCACAAAGGAATCTTGATCATACATATTACTAAAACTAGCAGATCATATGCACATTGCGTGGTAGATAATGCCCAATCAAAACAATGGAAAATTTATTGATGAGATTCATTCCTTCAACCCTTGGGTCCAACACGTAAGCCCAAACGTCTCGAGTGGCGTGGTGAGTATGTGTATGAATAAACTAGCCCAACAAGCAAATAAGATGGATTAAGAGATGATAACTAGCAAGTAAGAGATTAGGTATTATTAATCAGCTAATAACTCCCTAATACAATACGCTTGCTAAGGCTCGTCGACCATTCATCTCACAGGTCAGTAGAAGAGCTGCGAGTAAGAGAAATATAAGCTAGAGTGCTAAGAATAGTGAGTTGTAAACCCTTTACAATGAAATAAATGTTGCTATTTATACTACCAATGGGCAGTTGGTTGTGCTGACGTGGAGGGCTGTGTGTGGCTGGTGTCCCAACCACCAAATCTCCAGCATTAAATACACTCCCTGCCAGAATCTGAGTTTCCCCTGCCTAACTTGTGGAGACATTCATCCAGCCGGGATGGGGGCCTGCTCCTGGTGATACTGCAAAGGGTAATGGGTCGTTCGTATCCTAGCCATTGGAGGATTTGTCACACGGATTGGACTGGCACCAAGTGGTTGTGGCTTCTGGGGGCGACGTTCGTCGCCGTTGTGATTGTCTGTAGGTCTGATCTACGTTCCCTAGTACAGATGCTCATCAAGGCGGGCTGCCCCGTTGGGCTGGACGTTTGTCCGAATAAGGGGGGTGAATGGGCCGACCCTTTATTTGGGCCATTAACCCAACATTTATATTATTCACGATAAACACAAGTGAAATGTAAATTTCTACTACATATGAGTAATTAATATGACAAATAAAAATGTATACTCTTAAACACATGACTACTTTTGACATGTATAAAGGTAGCTTTGAATAATCCTCCATGTTGATTTTGTTGTTGTAGAAAATCTAGCTTCTTGTTTTGAATGTAATGTACATTTCTAAAAAGTTTCCGTGTTATTCATTAAATCGAACTAGTATTACCAAATTCAAATCGAACAAGTTGTGATACAAAACAGTTCAAACAGAAATCAGACGTTAGTTATCTCAAATTTTGTTGTAAAGAGTGGAGAGTGCATTCTACATAAGATGTCATCAATACCTCGAAATAGTGTTTACTAAATAATTACACATTCTTTGGATATAGTGCATGAAACTCTGAGGATCAAATTAGGCAATTTTTCCTGTAATGTTTACGGAGTACTACATATAATTAAATATTTGATGAGAATCTAATATTCATATCACCAAATTAAATGTATGCATCTTTTTTTTCGAAAAAAGGTGGCTTATATTAATAACATAGAACGTAAGTAGGTTACAACCGGACAAAGAGTCCACTGTCCACCATCCGCCCTTGAACCAGACTTGAATCTGCCACCTCGAAAGAAGCAACCAGATTCGTTGATCCTGAATTGGGCTTACTTGAGCCAATGACTGACAAACTAGGCTAATGTCCTATGTACAAGAGTCTTAACATGAATAAAAATAAAAGCTAACAAAAATACACGGTGTCTGAAACAAAATTCAACATGAAGGGAGAAAAGTCTAAAATTAAATAGAGCTTTAATCTGCAAGGACCACTAGATCTTCATGGATTTTGGCGGGCATGGACGCTCCAGCCCGCCTCTTCCCTATTTTTTGTTCCATCAAGAGCCATGACATCCTCCTATGAGTGCTCTTGCTCCTGTGCATCCCAGGTACGCCTCCTCTTCTGCTCCCTTGGTCCGTTGCTATTCGGTCTTGCATCATCATTTTTTTTTAATCCCACTCCTCCCTGGGACTCATTTTTCGTGTAGTTCTGACTGTGTTCAAGCTTCTCTTTGAGATTTCTTTTCATCCCAATAAGACCTCTCCCTGCACCTCTTTCCCTCACAAGTCATTTATTATCCATAGATGGGCGAGGTCTCCCTCCACCCGCCCTCAACCACAGAACCAAAATATTTCACAATAGCTTTATCCCCTTTTTCATACAATAAGGGGCAGAACTTTTCAGCATGCCCTATTACTCCACATGCAAAAGAAAAATGGGATAATTTTTCATACATGAAATCAACCTAGTATCCTTCTCCTTTGCTCTTTTTCAATGTTGTTCATACCTTCAAGGGATTTATCACATCCAATGTCACCCTGAACCTCATATAGGCCTCCCATTTCTCATCGAATTGTTTATCATCTCAGGAAATAAATTTTCCCAGATAATTCCCAATTCTACGAGCATTTTCAAGAATCGAAAAGTCATAGGGAACCTTGTGTACCTATATCCAAAAATCAGTTGTATCTAGAGGAACCTTCAAAGGCATATCCCCCGATTTTATGGCTTTTAGCACCAACAGATTTTGGTCAAACAACCAAGGAGGATTCCACCTCTTCCTCGTGATGATCGCCATTTGTCTGCGGATTAGTCGCCTATTGCCATACCCTCGCTATTGCTTCCACTCGCCGCGACCTGGCCGCACTGTATCAGCAGATTCTCAAAACCCTACATTGAGGGAGAGTCTACCTCCAAGAATTTAAATGCATGTATCTTGAATAGGTGGAATTTAATTATGGTAAAAGTGAGTATCTCACTCGATCTAAGGAGTCATGTCATATCAATATAAAATTTTATTGATCCATATATTAATGAATTTATTAAGTTTAAAATGAGGCCAAACACATTGTGGTTCGATGGCGTCACTGTGACACTCCTAAGGAGGAGGTTACAGGTTCGAAACCCATCCCGATCAAGGATGTTGGTATTTAACAATGAAGTATTGAACATATACTTTAAAGAGAGACTACAAAGTCAAGCCAAAAAAAGTTTAATGTTTAGAGGAATTAGTACTTTCCTGTTTAGTGTACTATGTACACTCCTGAAATAATTTAGAACACTATTAGTCTCCTGTTAAGGTTCGAGTCTCTTCGCCTCTTCGACGATCTCGTTCTTTCTGTTTAGTTAGCTTCTGTTAGGGATTGGTATGTGTAGCTCCAGTGATTACGTTTCCATATCCTTCTCGGGTAATGTGGGTACAAACTTCGTGACCGTATTCCTTACCGTTAGTATTCCTCGGTCTAGGTCCAGATTCTTGAGATCAAGGCTAAATGAATATGTTTTAATTTTTTTTTACCCCGGAAGGCCAACCACCAAAATCAGTGGGGTAAATACCAGGGGTCATTTACCAAATTTTATTAAAATAATTAAAGGTACAATATGAAGGGAGGACTAGACCAAATCCCTTCTGGAGGCATACCCCCAAATCAACAATTGAAAAACAACAAGAATAAGCATAAAGAAATAAGCAATTCGGGGGGACCGAACCTGACCCGGTGAAATTAGAATCTAAAAGAGGGAATACCAAAAAAATCCATCCAATAAGCTCGCTTAGCATGGATCGGGAGAAAACCTGGGCTGCTAATTATTTCCATATCCTTGAATTGGGTCGCAGCTAAATGATGAGCGACCCAATTTGTCTCTCTGACCGAGTGAACAAAGCTCAGATGTTTCCTATTCGCAATGTGTAGGGTTTCCTGCATCGATCTCCCCCATTTCCCCGTTTCCTTTCCTGCGAGATACTCCAAAGCTAATGAACAATCTGATTCCACCATAAACACCCCGAACCCTCTATCCACCATCCACCGAGTTGCAAAGATAATAGCCTGAAGTTCTGCCTCAAGCGCTGAGAATGCCTGTATGGAAAAACCAATGGCTAACACCATCTTGCTTAGCTCATCGCGAAGAACTGCTCCTCCAAAGGCCATATCAGCTAAGTAACAAGCATCAACATTTAATTTCCATTTTTTCGTAGGTCTTTGCCATCTAATGATTTGAACTGTCAGACCTTTGAGCTTAAATTCTTTAGGGATTAGCTGCTCTTCATGTAGTATACTACCAATAGATCTAACCTGACCCTTGACAAGCTTTGGACCCAATTTTGGGTATAAATCTTAATCTGCAGAATAATAAGCTCAGGATCTTTACTGATTCCACCTGACCCCCATACTAATTTGGAATAGGTCTTCCAAATAAACCAACAAATGATTCCAAATATGTTTTTGATAAACACTCCAACCATACTTCTATTATTTGATTTCAGCCTCCAGTGTTTAAAATAGCAATAATCCTGACCAGAGGGGATAAATATGCAGAAAATGCCCATAAAATATTGCCATACTCTCCTAACAACTAGTCATTGATAGAACACATGGTTAAGATTATCACTGTTTGCTCTGCAAAGAGGGCAAATCGAGGGGTTCAATACCAAGTTAAACCTGCCTAAATTATCTGCTGTAGGGACAATGTCTTTGGCAATCTTTCATTGGAGCAATTTAATTTTCATTTCCTGATTTGTATCCCAAATGCTTTGATATGTGACAGAATTAAAGGACAACTTCCTTACCTCTTCAAAAGCGGATTTGAAAGTAAAATGCCCATCAAGCTCCTCATTCCAGATTGTACATCCATTAGCATCACAGGAGACAAGAGTAGAAGCCAATTCATGTGCATCACAGATTCTCCTCCATATAGGGGAATCACTCACTTTAGGTAACATATTATCGCCTCTGTTATATCTTAATCTGATAAATTTTGCCCAAACAGAGTCCCCTGTCTTCCATTTCCACCATAATTTAAGTGTAAAAGCTTTCTCAATATCAGTGAGAGATCTTATCCCCAGACCCCCTTCCAAAGTAGGCAAACAAAGCTTAGACCATCTAATCCAATGGTGTTTTCTCCTGTCGTTAGAGGATCCTCAAAAAAATGAAGCCATTTTACTATTGAGAACTTTAATTACCTTTTTTGGAAGCTTGTCAACTGCCAAAGTATGAAGTGGAATAGCATTAAGTACATGTTTTATAAGGATTAGCCTTCCACCCTGTGATAAATTTTTTTGCTTCCAAGCGGTTAACTTATTCTCAAACTGCTTTATGATATGGCCACAGTAATTAAACCTATTAATACCTTTGTGTAAATTCACACCAAGGTATTTGATAGGCAAAGAAGAATCCTTCATCCCCAAAATGCTTTTAACCCTAGCAATCCTTCCTGGTGCACCCTTGCCACACAAAAAGGAACATTTATCCAAGTTAATCTCCTGTCCTGAAATTTTCTGGTATTCCAGAAGGAAATTTTTGAAGTTTAGCAACGATCTGGCTTCTCCATTAAGAAATACTAATAAATCATCAGCAAATCCCAAATCGGAAATGGGAGTACCCTGCTTCCCCATCCAGAAAGGCTTAACCCTACCTTCAGCCATCTTTTTATTTAATCCTCTTGACAAAACCTCAGAAGCAATAATAAACAAGAAAGGGGATCATGGATCCCCTTGCTTGACCCCTCTTGATGGCTTGAAAAAACCTTTGGGAGACCCATTAATGAGAATAGAAAGATAAGTGGCTTGAAGATTGTTCATAATAAGTTTAACCAGCTGAGAAGAGAAACCAAATCTGATCAAGACATCTGATAAAAACTTCCATGAAACTTTGTCAAATGCCTTAGCCATATCCAGCTCAATCACCAGGTCTGAACCCCTAATCTTCTTATCAATACAGTGGATCATCTCCTGAGCTATAAGGATCTGATCTGCAATGTCCCTGTTAGCCATGAAACCTGCCTGCTCTTGGGATATGATTTTAGGCAACACTTCCTTCATTCTGGATGTTAAAACCTTAGTACATATCTTAATAGTAAAATTAGATAAGCAAATTGGCCGCTAATCACTGAAAGTAGAAGCCTGTCTGACTTGGGGATAAGTACTATCTGAGAGCTAGAAAAAGCTTTAGGTATATGATGACCCAAGAAAAGCTCTAGTACTGCTCTCAGAATATGTTTTAATTAATGCTAAGTTTCAGAATAAGAATTATCTGATAATTATGATATCTGAATATGTTTCTGTTTGGTAAACACACATAAAAATATTCTCAGAATAAAGATTATCTAATACTTAGGATATCTGAATATGTTTTTGTTCTGTTTATAAATATTTGTATTTTTATAGCAGCTGCTCGGTTCACCCAAGTATGTTATATGTTTGTGTAACGACCGTCCCCAAAACGGCCATTACGATACTCAAACATAAAAGAGACTCGATAAATCAAGCAAAAATAAAGATACAAAGCCTTTGACATTCATGTAATTTCCATGTTTATGTTTGTGTTTTTAATTAATTAGTTTAGATTGATTGTTACTTTGGAAATTACACACTTTTGGTGTAATAGTTTAGTTTGTAAAATATTTGTAATTTGTTTAGATTCGGTTTATTCTGAGCATAAACAGGTCCAAGATCACTCTAGGGACCATTGGTGAACATCAAAAGTGGAAGGAAGGTCCAAAATCCCAAGACAAAAATAAAGATCCTGAATTTTTGTGTTGTACCCGGTCGGGTACGACCTATACCCGGTCGGGTACCTTGCTGAAAAATCAAATCGGATCAAATCCGGGAACAAGGCATCATGCGAGAAGATTTTTAACCACATTGGGGTGTCATGCCCGATCGGGTGACCGACAGACCCGGTCGGGTATGTCCCAATTTTCTGGCTTCCGGGAAGCTCTCTAAGTACCCAATCGAGTGCCTTAAAAGCCTAATCGGGTACACAACATTACAGCTCCCAAAAGCCTATAAAATACACCCCATTTTCTTCGCATAAAATAACCAATTCACATATACTTTTTAGCTCAGTTTAGATTAATGTTTTCTTTATATTTTCTATCATGTTTAGTCTCCAAATGAGGAGCTAAACTCTTCCATCTTGGTTTTGCTACTTTGAAGCTTAATGAATTGTAAGTTGTGAGTTATTTTCTTTAATCTTCTTCCTAGAATATTAATTAATTCCTATTCCTATTTCATATTAATATTTTGAGCATTACTTAAAGGAACAACTAGTTTTGTTTCATATATTAATTAATACTAGAATCGGTCGATTAATACGCTTGTTATTAATTCGGTCCTTTCATGGTAGTAAACTTGGGTTGTTAATGCATGCGTCTCATGGTTAGTAACTGAAGGAGAATTAAATATATTGATTAAACCAATAAACCGCTTGTGTTGAGGTTATCAATCTCAATCGTTTTCATCTTGATTTTATTGCTACTTTGAGTGAATATACGACGCATGTTCTATATTGACTCGGTAGTAAGTTTTATTAATGAATGCGTCTCGTTATTAATAACTACCCTCGATGAATTGGATATACTCCTCGATTGAGTATTCAAGAGGAAGAGAGTTAAAGATATAACTGGGATCGACGAACTTTTCATTAAGTGGATAAAAGCAAAGTCAAGTCTCCTTCTCATTAATTAAACCACATAAGTCGTTCATTTTCGTGTTTAAATATAATTTAAAGTTCATCAACCAATCTAAAAAAAACCTTGTTACTTATTTCCAGTTTTATAAAAAGAGAAGTATTCCTTTCCCTGTGGATACGAACCTTACTTCAATATACTAGGTATATTTGTTGTATTGAATATTTATTTTGAGTGCACACCACGACAAAGTGCACGCCAGCCTCTATATGAGACTTTATTTCTTTTAAAACAAAATCAAACCTTACAACCATAACGAAAGGCATCCAAAATAAAACATCTTAAAACCGTTACACCTGATCAGGATTTTAAAACGTTTAACAAGCCTTTGAAGTACCAACGTACTAAAACAACAACATAGCTGGTAGCCCGATCTTCTCCGTTAACCCATCCAAAACCTTGTCACCGGCTCCATACATTCTCTCAGGCTTCCGTACCCCGTTTATTACCTATACATGAGGACATAAGAGAATAGAATTCTCGTAAGCAATAGTATGCTTAGTAAGTCACCATTTCATCCACTAAAACATTTAGGGAATCTTAGCTAATCATAACTAGATACTTGTGCTGAATACATCATACATATACTATAATCACACATGATAACAACACATAAACATTCATGTATCAAACAACAAGAGATTTTCTTATTCATCATTCTTAATTCTTTCTTCTTATCTTATTCCTTGACTTGATGGGCCCATAGCTCGTGTCCTGGCCCTTCGCTGATGACCTCGGGTAGCTAGCCCTTAGCCATCAGAAGCAACCCCGGGACTCCCCGCGGAAGGAGATCCCGCTACGCTCAGCTCAGGTAGTTACATGGGGGCACGACTACCTTGTAACATTACTTGTCTTTCATTACTTTCATTATCATCATCACTTCCTTTCATTATTGATTCTATATGAATCAACCCCAAATCAATCATAGAACTTGAAATTCACATATCTCATGCCACAATTTCAAATATTCATGCACATACATCAAATTCACAATATTCCATAACTTCACAATTAACACCACCTGTCAATAGGTACATATAACTTGGAATTCACATATCCCATACCATACAATTTCAAGTACTCAAGCACATATATCATATTCATAATTAGCTAATCTCCCACACTTTATTTAGAACTATCATGTATATGTGGTGGTGCCTTACCTGGTTCCTGCGGAATATTTACTCTTGTGTGTGCGTGTCCGGCATCCACGAGCAACGGTTCTTCGATGAGCAACTATATATATGATTTACATTTGATCAACATAGTTTCACATTTATTTAAACTTAAATACATGTTTGTAGAAAAATCTCTAGACTTAAAGATGAGGGGAAGTTCACCAATCAACCCCTACATATGAGAAAACTCCCAATTTCCTACATAAAATCGGCATAGCTTCGGGATGGCTAGATAACTAAGAACCGATTGAATTTAATGAACCAAGACTCGTCATCCATCAACTAATTCTCATAATATCAAGGACTCCATGTATCTATTTAGAACCAACCCCTAGACATTAAGAAACTACCCAATTTCTTTCATTAATTTGGGTAAAACTTTGGGGTAGCTAAATACTCAAAACTTCACAAGGATTTTTAATCAAGGATGAAAAACAACTCCATAACAACCTTATTATTAAGAAAAGCCATTAATTCTCCTAGAATCAACCCTAAATCAGTCAACCCTAGCAAAGTGCACAACCAAGAACTCTAACTCGCAATATAGAAGAAATACTTCATGTAAAGTGTAAAATCTTACCTGCCAAAAACCGAACGGATCGGCACCGGTCAGGGCCGAACCGGGGCCGGTTGTGCTTCCATTTCACCTCCCTTAACTTTCTGTTTTGGACCGGCGCTGGCCCGGGTCCAACCGACGCCGGTTTGAGGCCAATCGGGTGCCGAAAACGGCATTTTTGCCCTAAACCGACCCCGATCGTTACCGTTCACATCCTAGACCCCCGATGACATTTTAAACTACATTTCAACACCCAAATACTATCTAACATGACAACTAACTTAATACCATTTCGTCCAGAATAAAAATTATTATTAGGGTGTAGTTTCGTTGCTCATCGGATACTGTCGCCTGTCACGTTCCAACATAATACAAGCATGTAAGTTCAAATACAGTTATCACCAAATTCAAAATCACGTAATATCCTTATTCTTCACATGTATAGCACTCAAACCATGAATCAAAACGTGATCTTGTTGACTATTTAAACACATAAAAAGTATATAAAAGTACGGGCATTACAGTTTGTCTGATCAGATGTGAATTATGATATGTTGATCTGTGCTTTGATATGTTAATATTATTGTCATGTTATTACCGTACCACTCAGCACATTATTGTTGAGCGGGTACTTGTGTGTTTTTCCTACCCGTAGGTTAAGCACGGAATCCGCTAGGAGCACTGTGATGGAAGGAGGCGTAGGACTCATTTGCATCATTTTATTTGGTGTTTTTTTATAAGGACTTTAAAATGTCATGTGTGATTTTTAAGAGCTTCCGCTACAGTCTTTGAAGTATTTTGTGATGTTTACGTTATGTTTGTTTTAGTAACATTATACTCCTTGTGAGTTTGACATTTTCGGGTATTAAATGATGAAGTTATATTGGAATTAATACACTTCATTTTAAGTCCTAAATCTCTTATTATAACTCAATGTTTTAAGTTAAAGTAAAAAATAAAATGGGTGTTATTTTCCTGAATCAATTTTTTTTTAAAAGTAAATTCCTTTCTGTTTTCCGCCAAGTGACGCGCCGCCCGGATCGGCGGGGTCGGTCCAGGTGGGGTGTTACAATTTTATGAAACGGATGTAGTATAATACAAAGTTTTAATAAAGCATATAACTTAAGCATAAAATATGTTGACATAATATATGGATTTTTGTTGGATAACAATTTAATTCAATGTCTCACTGCTATCATCATCATCATCATCATTATTGTTATTATTATTATTATTATATACGAGAATTTACCTTTTTATCACTATTTGGATTGCTAATGTTATTACTACCTACGTTCTTAAATAAGTGCAACAGTCAACATTTCACATTTGTCGAGACACAACTTTGACCATTAATATATATAATTCTCTATTAGTACAACAACAACAACAACAACAACAACAACATCCAAGCCTTAGGATGTTTTTACTTGGACTGTAATTTGCTGGTCTGGTCTGGTCTGGTCTGAACTGGTCTGGTCTGGTCTGGTAAGGTCTGGTTTCTTTGTATTTTTATAACTATCCAAGTCTGGTCTGGTCTGGTCTGGTCTGGGGCAAATTACAGTCCAAGTAAAAACATCCTTAGTCCCAAACAATATTGAGGTCGGCTAACATGAATCGATACATGATATCACCAAAAGAAAAGAAAGAAAATAAAGATAAAAAAAATAAGCTATTATAAAAAAAGATAGTATAAAAGAGATGAATATACATATAAAAGATAAAATAAAAAGGATAAAGTAATATTTATATAATTCTCTAATTGTAAAAAAATTAAAAAAATGAGATTTTGAAATTTATAATGAGACAAATTTAGTAATATTTTTTTCAAAAAAAATATATTGATACATTAATAAATAAAATATAGTCAAAATAGAACATGTGAATAGTGTAAAATTTGCAATGTTGCACTTATTTAAGAACGGAGGTAGTATGAAGTAATGATGTTCAAGAATCAAGATGCAACTTTGAGTTTAATAATTAAATCTTCATATATTTATCATATTAAATGATCATATAAGAATGATCACACAAAATAAAATTAAAATGTAGCGATAATGGGAGTGATCAGATTTCTGATCTCTAGAGCACAACATCATCATTTAGAGGAATTATAGCTATAAATTCTTGGCTGCATTTCCTCCATTCACGAGAGGATCGGAAAGACACAATCCAGGCCACTAACAACACAAAACCACCAGATCCACCCCATGTGGATCCTCTAGCTAAATAATAACTATGTGGCATTTCTTGTATTAGCCGTTGTGATTGATTATATACTACGTAGTATATTTATTACTCTTATAATATTGTTTCCTTTAAAATTTGTCACTTTCACTTTTAATAAATGAATCATGTTTTCTATTATTTCTCTTTCGTATGAAGAAATCCCAATCACACAATTTTACCTTATTATTTTCCGCCTCAGTCAAAATTTACAACGTTTTGAGTGACTAATATATAAGATGTTTTCAGGGAATTATTCAAACTAGCTAAAGACTAAAACACAATATTCTTCCAAAAATAGGATCAAATGTTTGGTTTTTCCTAAATAGAACTAATCATTCCATTTCTACCTCTAAGTTAATCAATTAATTAACCTATTTAATTGACAACTAGTTCTCTTGCAGAATCAAGGTCCATCCGTGAT